AGGACTACACTGGGAGACAAGAGCGCTCAGGCAGCTGACCCAGTAGTGAGAAGCAAGAGGAACTCCTTCACTCTGGGAAGGGCTGGGCGAAGGCAGGCTGGCGTGAACCACAAGGAGCAGGTCAGGTTAGTGTACCCAGAGACAGTGCCTATAAGAAGCAGGGAGATCCATGAGAGAAGCTGCCCAAGTCGCCAGGGAGGGAAGGCAGTGGGGAAACTGCTGGAAAGAAGCAACATAGAAAAATTTGGAAGGGGCTTGGAGTAGGGGCAAAGAATAAAGACGTTTCTTATAAGAACTGTATAGGAAGTGATGTGTAGGGAAGTGCAGCCAGAAATGAGGGGTTCACTGTGCGAGTGGGTGCTCCAGGTTGGGGCAGGGAGTTGGGGTGTGTGTGGGGGGGTGAGGGGTCTGACTGGGTGCAGACTCTGGGGTGAGGCTGGGGATGAGGAGTTTGGGGTGTAGGAGCATGCTCCAGGCTGGGACTGAGGGGTTCAGGGGTGAGGGGTGCAGGCTCTGGGAGACGCTTACCTCAGGTGGCTACAGGAAGCAGCAGCATGTCCCTCTGCTGGCTCCTACACGGAGGTGCAACCAGGCAGCTGTGCGTGCTGCCCCGTCCGCAGACACCACCTCCGCAGCTCCCATTGGCCGCGGTTTGCTTGGGGTGGGGGTAGCATGCGGAGCTCCTGGCTGCCCTTACACATAGGAGCCGGAGACAGGACATGCCACTGTTTTTGGGAGTCGCGCAGCATGGAGGCTAGCAGGGAGCCTGCCAGCACTACTGTGCGGCACCGCCAACCGGACAGTCAACGGCCCCGTTGGCGGTGCTGACCGGAGCCGCCAGGATCCCTTTTCGACCAGGCGTTCTGGTAAAAAATTGGACACCTGGTCAGAGATAGCACGTACACAATGGAGGCTGACTCACCGCATAGCAAAGAATCTTTTCAGTAAGCTAGAAGAAGTTATAAAAGGGGGAAGTGACATTATCTCTTTGTCTTCACTCCCCTCACAACTCAACACCTGGAAACATATCTAGAGAACAAAGACTGAACTGGGGAGGTGGTCCCAGGTTGAAGAGAATTTCCAGCCTGAGAATGGAAGATCTGTGACCTGCTTGTATTATTTATCAGCGTGAGACACTGCTTGATTCAAATCCTGTCTAGTGTATAGAACTCAGATTGTGTTTTTACTTTTATTTCTTAGGTAATCAGCTTTGATCTCTTCTTATAATCACTTAAAATCTATCTTTCTGTAGTTAATAAATCTGTTTTATATTTTATCTAAACCAGTGTATTTTGCGTGAAGAGCTTGGGGAAATCTGCTCAGGAACAGGGGCTGGTGCATTGTCCTCTCCACATTGAGGGAAGGTTAGACTAGGTAATAAACTTACAATGCTCAGGCTTCTGACCACAGCAAGACGGTACAACTCTGGGGTCCTAGGCTGGGGAACTGGGGGAATTGGCTGGAGTCTCTCTATTGTTCATGAGTGGCTGGCAAAAGAATTCATGTAACTCAGCTGGGTGTGTCCCTGGCTGTGGAGAAGTTTGCAGCTTGTCACAGCATCACAGTGTGAGAAGGTTGGTAAGACAGAGGGCTCAATGGTACCCCAGTTCCAGGTGGCATCCTGAGCAAGTCTGTCACACCAGTTCGAGGGAACCCATCACAACAATGCAGCGACCTGTTTGCTAAGCAGTATATATGGTGTTGAGCAACCAACATCAGTGATCTGAGATCTGATCTAGCTGCCGATCTGCTTCTGGGTGGAACTTAAGGTATTGGTATTGATCTACGTAACTCATGGTAGCTACAAGATCATCTGTCTTTCTCTCTCTCCCCAGGTGATATTCTCCTTGTGATTGGCAGAAGTGCTTGAGTTGGAGACCCCTCTGTTTAAAAGTTGAAGGGTTCCAACTTGACTTTGGAACCCAAATGCCCCCTCTGTTGCAAAGGAACTGGAACAAGGCTGGGTACCTGGCCCACTGCCTCCAGAACTTGGAGATAGGTCTCGTTCCTAGACAGGCTCCCAAACTCCAAAATACATGTGCACTAATCAGCACTCTCAGGAGAGAGAGTGAGAGCAAGAGAGGGCATTATTAGTCATTTTGATAGTCAACCAATCAATGATTAGAAGCTAAGCCATGTGGGCTTATATGACCAGTCGTTTACTGTAGTGGGGCGACGACTCACAGGCACGGCGCCTCCTGCTGGTCAACTGGGAATTAGCTCTTTTCCAGCATATGGCGTGCCCTCTGCAGGCCGGTGTCTCACCTGCCGCTGGCCCCGTGTCCCTCCCAGACCCCAGTGCCCTTGTCCGTGGGGTTCTGCCCCACCGCAGTACCCCCACGCTCTGGGTCTCCCCTCCTAGGGGAACCCCCAACACTCTAAATCCACCTTGCCTCACTGGCTACTGCCAGTCATCATCTAGCCCCCGCTCACTTGGGCAGACTGCAGTCTGTAATGGCCACTCATCATTGGCAAGGGGTTAGGACCACCTGCTTTTGCCTATTCCCAGGCTGTATCTCTGGAGCCCGAGTACCTTTGTAGGCCTTCACCAAGGCCTGCAGCCTGGGGGTTTACCAGACTGGAGCTCCCCAGCTCCCTTGCCCTATTCCCCAGCCCTGCTCCACCTTAGGTACCTTGCTCCCAGGCAGCTAGCCCTTCCCACTCCAGGGCTAGAGTGAGACTCCTTCAGCTCCTGGCCCCCAGCCCTCTTATAAGGCCAGCTGGGCCCTGATTGAGCTGGCCACATCTGTGGCTGCTTCCCCAATCCACCTAACTTGGTTGCTTTTCCCCTGTTCTCCAGGAGTGGGGCAGATGCCCCACTACATTCACCAAATCCTTTTGGCTAACAAATACACTTGTAGGTTGGTTTACAAACAAACAAAAGGGTTCACTCTGCTGGAGAAGTGTTTGGAACTCGTTTTTGACCTAGCCTGGCAGGAATGGGCTCTCAGTGGAAAGACGAAACAATCTAACATTCTCTGGGCAAGCGGGGAGGGCTGGAAAAGACCACGGCAATGGGCATATGACAGTGGTGACTTCAGTGGGTCTTTCTAACAAATCTGTTATATTTCAACCACAAATTATTGGGCTTGAGGCAGGAATTGCTAGGTGTAATTCAATGACCTGTTACACAGGATGTTAGATTAGATCATTACATCCCTTCTAGCCTTTTAATCTATGAAGATGAGTATGGCAGACTGTGTGGAACAGATTAACAGAAGGCTTCATGGTATGCAGATTTCATTAATAAAGGACATATTAAGGAAGGATTTCAACCAATAAGTAAATATTAATAACAATTATTTACAATTAAGAGCAAGGTAAAAATGCTGAAAAATTCTATTTTATTATGGTGGCATCAATAGTGAAGCCATAGTTAAAGTGGAGTCAAGTTTTTCTCTTAGAGCAGGGATTCAATTTCTGTATCTATGAAAAATATGGTGTAGCCTCAGCCAACACTGTAACACTTACTCTCTGAGTGCAGAATGAGTTTTCAGAGAATTTACAAGTCAACCTGCTAAGTAGTTTAGGAATGAATGCATTTAGTCTTCTTCCCTTAAAACTCCTTCTTCCTTATATGTATTCCACTGAACAACTTAATTCCCTGTACAAAACAGGATACACTTTATTCATGAAGGAGAAGCTTTAAGGATACAGAACTGCAGTTTTGCTAACTGGGATTTTTGGGGGCGGACAATACAATATTTCCTTTTGGGGGGCTGTGACCAAGGTTGCTGGAGGGGATATACTGAGAATGCTCAATCAGGGCAAACTGCAAGGAATAAGGCAGACAATTCCCAAAACTGATGGCTTATTCTTATAAATGATTCACCAAAACAGTAACCAATTAGCTTCTATAATACCTTACTGGATACCAAGAAGTCAAAATACAGTTCTCTTTAATCAATGTAGCCTTTGGTTCCCTCCGAGACAGCCAAGTCCATCTAATGAGGGTTATTCAAAATCTCATTCACCGTCTGTAAAGTTCTACCACTCTCAAGAGATTGGACACATTACACACCAGGTCAAATACACACTTACAGCCAATTCTTATTAACTAATCTAAGATTTATTTAAAAGGAAAAGGAAGAGAGTTATTGTGTTAAAAGATCATTATACATACACATATGAATCCAGTTTCAAAGCAGAGATGGTGAGGCTGCCGATTTGTAGAAATCCTTCTGGAATTCATGGAAAAAGTCATCGTCCAATAGGCAGTCCATATGCCAAGTTTTTTCAAATTCTTCCATAAGAATTGCAGGGCTAATGCAGACGTCTTCCATCTTGTCACTTGAATTTCCCCTGACAAAGTTTAAGCAGATCTGAGATAGTAAGGATCAGGCCCCAAAGTCCCTTTATAACTGAAGTTCAGCTGATTAGCCTCTTGTCCGCAAATGATCACAGAGGGCCTTCCTTGCACGAAGAATTGGTAATGTGCATTGTTGCTTTGAAATAAAACTCTATTTCCTATGTATACACTGATAACTATTAGCATTGATTAGCATAAAGCAATTAATCATTGAAGAGATTCACAGGTAGTTTATTACAAACTTCAAAGAGAAATAAAAACAATGATATTATTACACCATAAGTTTCATCTAAATGTTTATATCCCCTTTTGACCTCTGAATCAAGAGAATAGGTAATGAAACATTACTGGTAGGAACTGAAATTTAGCACCTACAAGCTAATTTGGTCACATTGTTGAACTTCTAATAAGATATAGGTAAACCCAGACAAATACAATTAGTATCTACTTCTGATTCTCTAACAATACAGGCCGATATTTCAAGAACTCTAGTTTATTTACCATGGCTTTGCTAGCTATCAACAAGGAATGGCCCTGTTTATCATTTCAATATTTTTTTAATATGTCTTTAAAGTTGCTTTTAGTTCAACCGGCCTGCTGCTTGCTTAATCCTCGCTGGCTCAGCGTGACAGATGCACTTGGACACCATGGGCCATATTTGCTCCTAGATAGACAGACTAGACAGACCAAATCAGTGCCCCCATTGGAGTCTGTTAGTGGAATAGTTCTGAAAGATCTTCATGATCCGTTTACGAATCTCTTTGGTTTTTATGCTGTATGCAATGGGATTGAGCACCGGGGGGAGGAGGAGGTGGAGATAAGAGAGAAGAATTTGACTCTGAGGAAGAGCCTTTTTCTCGAACCTGAGAATCATAGACAAACTGATCAGCGGGGTGTAGAAAAGCAGGGTGACACAGATGTGGGAGACACAGGTGTTCAGAGCCTTGAGACGCTCTTGCCAGGATGTGATACTCAGTACGGTCTGAAGGATCATGATGTAAGACAGGACAATGAGCACTGAGTCTAAACCCAGAGAAGAAAGGACAACAAACAAACCATAGAAGCTGCTGGGCTTAGTATCTGCACAGGCCATCTTCATCACATCTGGATACAAACAATATGAATGAGAGAGCGGTTGGATCTTGCTGTAGGGCAACCTCTTGAGAAGAAAGACAGATGGGATATGCAGACCACTACCCCTGATTATTATCGCCAGCCCTATGTTTCCTATCCTAGCACTGGTTAAAGTCGAAGCATATCTCAGCGGGTGGCGTATTGCAACAAAGCGATCAAATGCCATAGCTAATAGTACAGAGGATTCCATGACGGAGAAAGTGTGAATAGAGAAAAGTTGGGCCAGGCAGACATCAATGCCAATTTCTCTGGCGTTAAACAGGAAGACGCTGAACGTTGTTGGCAAGGTGGAAACACACAAGCCAAGGTCAGTGACAGACAACATAGAAAGGAACAAGTACATGGGCTCATGGAGATTCTGCTGTGTCTTTATCACAAACAGAATCAGACCATTTCCTAAAATTGCAATGAGGTACATGGAACAGAAAGGGATGGAGATCCAGGGGCCATCAGCTTCCAGCCCTGGGATGCCTGCCAGGAGGAATGTTGCAGGACTCATGTTGGTTTCATTGCAGGTTGGCATGATGCACTGGGGAGGTTCTGATCAGTTTATTAAACCACATTCCCTACAATTGAAAACAACATTATTAAAAATACGTGACACCATGACAGAAAATATGGCCCATCCTGCCACTGCTCTTCAGACATGTTGGAGTCAGTACTTTGATTAAAAACCCTTGTGGTACTCACAGATCCCCAGATCAGTTACAAAATTCCATTACTAATAATATCCTGTTCTTATATAGAGCTTTGCATTCATAAATCTCAAAGTGATTTACAAAAGAGCACAAGTATCAATGGGTCTGATTCAAAGCCCATTGACACTCATAGGAAGGAGGATGTAGATCCTCATTTAACTGAGGGGGAAACTAAAGCACAGAAACTAAAGCAATTTGTGCAAGGCCACGCAGGAGATCAATGACAGAATTCAGGTCTCCCAGCTCTCAGCTGAATGCCCCTTCACTAGACTAGACCACACCGTCTCCTCTAGATGGAGCTTGGCATATGAAGACTTGTATGAACTCATTATTAAAGGGAACATCAGAAAAGCAGAGTGGACCTGAACCCAAACCTTGGATCAGAACACCCGTGCATTCTGGAACAAGGTTTCAGTCTGGATACAGATCTCAACTGTTTAGCTTGGGTCCACCATAAAAAAATTAATGGTTTACCTATTTGAGAGGAGAAAAATTATGTGCCTTGTGAATGGCCCATGGGCTGAGAAGTGTTCATACAAACTACTCAGTGATGACTGACAGTGAGTGTCCAAAGACACACAAGGAGGGTGTGTCAGAACAGGGAACAAAATCCAGCTTTGCTTTGTTTAGCTATAAACGCCAGCCTGCCCCTGCTGTTGTACATTGTTAGTAATGGAGGGGAAGGGGACCAAAAGAAAAGGAGCCTCTGAAGACTGTGAATGTTAGCTGTGTACTATCTTCATTCTAGATGCAACGGAGGCACATGACTTAACGAGGAGAGGCTGAGGGAACTGGGGTTATTTAGTCTGCAGAAGAGAAGAGTGAGGGGGGAATTGATAGCAGCCTTTCACTACCTGAAGGGGGGTTCCAAAGAGGATGGAGCTCGGCTGTTTTCAGTGGTGGCAGATGACAGAACAAGGAGCAATGGTCTCAAGTTGCAGTGGGGGAGGTCTAGGCTGGATATTAGGAAACACTATTTCACTATGAGGGTGGTGAAACACTGGAATGGGTCCCCTAGGGAGGTGGTGGAATCTCCATCCTTAGAGGTTTTTAAGGCTTGGTTTAACAAAGCCCGGGCTGGGATGATTTAGTTGGTGTTGGTCCTGCTTTGAGCCGGGGGTTGGACTAGATGACCTCCTGAAGTCCCTTCCAACCCTAATCTTCTATGATTCTATGCCTCCTTTGCTCACACTGGGTGAAATCCACCCCTGTGCAGACAGCCAGCATTCCTCAAACTGGAATTTTGCCCTGTGCAAAGTTTACTGTGAAAAACCCTATCCTCAGTTATGTGCAGGACTCGTAGGGACATCAACTGGCTCAACTGGCCCTTACCCTGAAAAACCCTCATTGAAGTGAAGTTTTGTTGGAACAAAGACAAAGAGCTCAATTTTCTCACTTATGGTATCCAAGCAGACACTCCAGGGAGTGTTATATTATAAGCAAGCACCATGCCCCCAGAAGCTGCAGGAAATGCAGAGAGTGCAAGTCACCCTTTCAGCGGTTACAGCACACTGTCCCATTAGCTAGAAACTACAGGCAGGTTAGTCAGTATTTGCCACTCCAGGGTTAACTGCACCCCTTCCAGTTAAATGTCTGGTGCTAGTGACTGTCAGTCAAGTTATGGGTCTAGATAGACCTCAATTTGGATGTGCTATGGCCATTCCTAGGTTTCTTGTTACCATACACAGCCCCAGGCAAGTCAATGGTACTTACAAAAAGAAGGCACAGGGAGTTAAAAACACAAGCTGGCTTCTACTGGAATTTGTGTTCCTCACTCATGGAAAATTCCAAGCTACATGGGCAATTTTTGCACCACTGGGCCCTCAGATTGCAAGCACCACAAGGCAGGGACCTGTCCTCCTAGGGCTTTGGGTCTTCTATAAAATAACTAATAATGATGCTGATAATAAAAATGTGCAATTCTCATTGTTTACAGATTAAACATTTCAAGCAGTTGAAACTGCCTATTAATATAAGTGAAATCGATGCAATATGAACAGCGCACTTACCAAAGCCACTAAAATTGAGGCTGGAGAGTGTTCATCATCTACTCCTGAGGAAGCAGAGCTTGAACGCTCTGCTCAGAAACATTCCCTCTTTCTGTCAGGCACGCAGTGTGGAAACATTTATAGCGCAGCGGGTAAAAGCCCTTGAGGATCAGTTAATCAATTGGGAATCACCGTTGATCTTATTGTTACACGTTTTAGCTCGACCAGCACAAATGGAAAATACCTAAAAGGTAAATGATTTGAAGTATTTCTGCACTGACTGGTGCAGCTTCCAGGATTAAGGGGTGTCATAACTATAAAGGGAAGGGTAACAGCTCTCCTGTGTACAGTACTATAAAATCCCTCCTGGCCAGAGACTCCAAAATCCTTTTACCTGTAAAGGGTTAAGAAGCTCAGGTAACCTGGCTGACACCTGACCCAAAGGACCAATAAGGGGACAAGATACTTTCAAATCTTGGGGGGGAGGGGGGCTTTTGTTTGTGCTCTTTGTTTTGGGGGTTGTTCGCTCTTGGGACTAAGAGGGACCAGACATCAATCCAGGCTCTCCACATCTTTCTGAACAAGTCTCTCATATTTCAAACTTGTAAGTGTAAGCAGAGTCAGGATGAGCTCTACCCTGACATCTGGTGGTGAATGATGGTGAGTGTGGAAAAGAACTCCAGGGGCTGATCTTGTTTGCATAGGCACACCCACTCGCCTGGCATGAAACAACAGCAACTGAAAGTGGTTACTTTGGCTGGTGTGGGATCCCCAGTTTCTCTGTTATTGGGGCAGGAAGAATAAAGTTTTGTTACCCTGATTCTGTGAATCAAGGCCAGTGGAACTGTTGTATGACAGAAGGACTGAGTGAGTCCTTCACCATTACCTAAGTAGCACTTGCTTGACAAGGGGCATGGGTTACAAAACCCAGTGAATTGAGAGAGGATGGGGACAGGTATTTGTACCTGATGGTATGGGCCCCCCTCTGAGGGGTTGAAACACCAATTGCACTACTGCTTCTCTCCACTGTTGAATGTCAGAGCTAACTTTGATTCCATTAGGAGTTTAGTTACAGGCTGCTGAGCTGAATTCACTTTGGGCCAATGGTGCACCAGCACTGGGGCTCCCCTACTATGAGCTGAAATCACAAAAGAGCTAAAATCACAAAAGAGCTAAAGTTATTAAGAGCCGAGATCACTGAGTGCTGTGTTAACTAGTGGGGGAGCCTGAAGCTATATTGCTAAGCAGATGGCGGAACAATTTGCGGGGCTGGTTGGAGCGGCCCAAGGAAAGGCGAGCAGAGCTGTTTATGGGGATGGCTGGAGCGGCTCACAGGTTGGTGAGCGGAGCAGCTTGTAGAGTGGAGCAGTTCGTGGGACGGCAGGAAGTGGACTGGCTCGTGGTGAAGGCTGCGGCAGAACCCCACGGAGAGACGGCCGGCTGGCCTCGGATCACGTAAGGTGCCCCTTAACACTCTGCATGCCCCCCCTTTTACTCTGGGGCTGCACTGACCAGGGACAGAGACTTTGGGATTTGTTGGACTTTTGGGACTTTGGGTGGTTGCTGGACCCAAGAGACTTTGGGGGTGTTGGACTTTGGGGACTCTGGGTGATTTTTGGGTTGCTGGATTCAAGAACCAAAGGGAAAGGACACAACCCAATTTGCTGGGGTGGGTTTTTTGCTCCTGGTTTGTGTTAGGAATCCCGTTTGTGGTGTTTTTCCAATTTAATGCTGATGTCGTTTACCTCATGTTATTAAACATTTTCTGCTACACTCAGACTCCGTGCTTGCGAGAGGGGAAGTATTGCCTCCTAGAGGCGCCCGGGCAGTGGTAGGTAATTGTCCCAGGTCACTGGGTGGGGGCTCGAGCCGGTTTTGCATTGCGTTATTGAAACGGATCCCTCAGATACAGAACCCGGCCCTTGTTGCTGCCAACTTAGATGGTAAACAGCCAGGCAAGGCGTGTTAGTTTATCTTTGTTTTCTCAACTTGTAAATGTACCTTTTGCTAGAGTGTTTATCTCTGTTTGCTGTACTTTGAACCTAAGGCTAGAGGGGGGTCCTCTGAGCTCTTTAAGTTTGATTACCCTGTAAAGTTATTTTCCATCCTGATTTTACAGAGATGATTTTTACCTTTTTCTTTAATTAAAAGCCTTCTTTTTAAGAACCTGATTGATTTTTCCTTGTTTTTAGATCCAAGGGGGTTGGATCTTGATCCACCAGGAGTTGGTGGGAGGAAGGAAGGGGGATGGTTAATTTCTCCTTGTTTTAAGATCCAAGGGGTTTGGATCTGTATTCACCAGGGAATTGGTGAAGAGTCTCTCAAGGCTACCCAGGGAAGGGAATTAGCTTTGGGAGTGGTGGCAGCGGACCAGATCTAAGCTGGTAGTTAAGCTTAGAAGTTTTCATGCAGGCCCCCACATCTGTACCCTAAAGTTCAGAGTGGGGAAGCAGCCTTGACAAGGGGTAACCCAATTCACAAGATGTTTCGCAATATTCAGCAATCGTCCATCCCAGAGCTGGTGTAAATGGTATAACTGCATGTGTCAGGGGACTGGCGCTGACTTGCTTTTGGTCAGGATTTGACCCTGATTTTTGTTTCCTCAAAGAGAATTTAATTCTTGGGAAAGGTGCCAGACTGACAGACCTGGAGATGCCTGTGCTTTAATCAGCCAAAATTCCACACGTACTATTGTGGATCGACACCACCAAGTGTGTACCGTATGGCACATGGGCGAGTGAACTTGTAATCTTTCCATTAACTGGATTTGAAACAATTTATTGTATTGTGCAATTTAAACAAAGCAGCCAGATCTCCCCACAGTTCCAGGGAATCTC